CTAAACTGAGTTATTATACTATACTGAGTATTTTATGATTCTCAACTGAGTCTATATTTTTATTTGGGTGTTGTGTAGACTAGCTAAGACAGATGTCATTAAAATTAGAATTAATTATCGAGGAACTTTACTTCTCTATCCTTGTAAGCTATATGTAAATGGAAAGGCTGGTGAAATTAATTGGAAATTGGATATCGATTTTATGTAATATATGGAGATTCTCAAAGTAATCAAGTCATTGAGTTATGTAAGAATCAAATGTATGTGTCCATATTATAGTTTGTATTTTACACAACAGAGATGAAGTTGATCCGTATGTATCGAAACATTGCATGTATCAATTTTATTGAGATTTTACTAATTTATGATACTATACTGATATGCTATTATAGGCTGGAACTAATATTATATGCTGGACTGATATTATACTAATATGATATTATAGGTGTGGACTAATATTATAGGTTGAACTATTATGTGCGGACTAAAATTATGAAATGTTTCACTAATTGTGAAATGTTTTACAGGCTAGACTATTATGTTTCACAAACTGATATGCTTGAATTCTTAACAATATTATGCTTTAATTTTGAACTATTATGTCAAAATATGATTAACTGATATGCTTTAATTCTTAGCAATATTATGCTTTAATTCTTTGCAATATTATATCAAAATGTGACTAACTGATATGCTTTAATTCTTAGCAATATTATGCTTTAATTCTGAACTATTATGTCAAAATGTGACTAACTAATATGCTTTAATTCTTAGCAATATTATGCTTTAATTCTTAGCAATACTATATTGATAAAGTCATATGTAACTAATTGATATGCTAACTGTCAATTGTTATGAACTTATACTAAATGATATTTATTAACTGATGTGAACTATTTATGAACAGAAAAATAAGTTTTATGACAATATATTCTTATATTGTTCTACCATCTAATCTAATGGTTCAAGACTTTGACCAACGGTTGAAGGTGAATCAATTAATCCACTAGTTATGAAAAGAGCTCTAAGTAGACCCAAAAAGAAATAAAGCTAATGATAGATCCACTTTAAACAATGTGTTGCCTAAAAATTTGACAATTGTCAAGTATAAAACTCGTGAAAATTTTGAGCACAATTCAAGAACGTGCAAAGGAAAGACAACGACGCCGACAATTGCCTAAAGGAAGTAACAAGATAAAGAACTAAAAGAAAACATCCACCAAAGGAAGTAACAAGACAAAGAAGCAAAAGAAAACATCAACCGACTAAGCACCTACCGTTTTGACACAAGGATAACATGCGCCACAAACACAAGAAACAACTAGATAAGAATTATATAGTAAATTGTTCTTTGCGTGTAATTCGTTTGGACAATGTTTCACAATACTATTGGTTAAGCTTTAAATATGTAGTTGCTCAAGTCCTTTTGGGCAATATTTTGATAACTTTGGTTAAGCTTTAAATATGTATTGGATCAATGCATTTTGTTAATATTTAAATATGATTTATAGATCATACATGTTCTTTGATGTTTAAATATGAATCATATATCACAACTTGTATAAACAATTTGTATAAACAAAAGCTTGACAATGATAATAGTCTGTATGATCACATTCCATTAACACATTACAAAATTGTACAAATCTCATAAACTTGATTATTGTTTGTATAAACATGAAACTTTCTAGTTTGAACAAACTCATTCACTATTGCAATATGTCTTCTTCATCAAAACATCCTTCTTCTATAAATTATTAACTTTCTTCAATAGTGAATTAATGACCTCAATTGAACATTCAATCAATTTCTCATCAAACCACTAAAAAATACACATCATTTCCTTCCTTGTAACTAAGTAACCCACAACCATAGATTAGTGATTGAGAAGAGGTATACAAACATTTAAAAAAATAGGAAATTCACAATGCTTTGTATAACCTACAACCATAGAACTTTCGACCTGGATTCTGCGATATCCAGACATTGACAAGTGGTGAGTCTAACTCAAAATAACATTACATCATTTTTCTCATAAAATGAGAGGTTGCTTGAAGTTACAGTGGAACGGTAATAGCTATGGGGGGTGGCGAAACAAGAAGTTACAGTGCAACAATAAATTGTAGCAAAACCCTAAAAAAGAAGTTCCACTAAAACCTAAATATGATAAAACGATGAAAATATAGTTATCAATTCTCCTTTAAATAAATCAATATTATCAAAATCATTCAATAACTAATTTTAATTCTAAAAACGACTTGAAAAAACAAAAGCAAAATGCTACATATTAAAAAAAGTGACACATTAAAATGAGGATAGGAGGCCAAAACTGTTTAAAAATAAAATAGACTATTTTCGTGAATTATACAAAATAGAAGGACTATAACCATAATTTAATCTAAATTAATTTAAGATTTAATATTAATTGTTGTTTTATTTTAATTACTATCAAGTTGTACCCTTAGTATTTTGAGCTTTTAAATTCATTATCGTAAATTGAAGATAGGAAACCAAAACTATTTAAAACTAAAATAGAGACTATTTATGTGAATTGTACAAAATAGAGACACTATAACCATAATTTAGTCTAAATTTAATTTAAGATTTAATATTAATTGTTGTTTTATTTTAATAACTATCAAGTTGTACCCTTAGTTATTTTGAGCTTTTAAATTCATTATCCATGAGTTGTTTTTTTATGTATAGTATCTTTTACATAAATAAAAAATGAAGCAAAAATCTTTAATTTTAGGCTTAAATGTACTTTCCATCTCTTTACTTTCACGTTTTTAAAGTTTTAATCGCTCCATTTTAAAAATCAATTTTTTGTCTTGAGTGAGATAAAATTTAAGGACAAAAAATTGACTTTTAAAATCGAGAACTAAAACTTAAAAAACTTCAAAATAGGGAAACAAAAATACATTTAAACCTTAATTTTATTAACTAGTTTTTATAGCCTTTAGACTATTATAAATTCTTAACTTTCTTTTTTTTTATAGTATATCTATTTTAGCTTCCTATAAAGTTGTTACAAGTATACTTGAATTTGCATGACCAACTTACAAACGTTTTTCACCAAATGACAAGAGAAGACCATAAATTGACATATACATACAAGTTTGAATAGAAAGGTTCTATAAATTTAGTACAATAGTTTTTACTAGGTTGAATGACAACTGCTTAGGTCATGTAAGTTATTTCAATGACCTTTTTTTCCTTGCTGCAACTTATTAGCAATCTCAGAAAGTGATCATGTACATATATATACAAGACACTTGTTCAATATTCTCTAGTAATGAAAAAAAGAATATGGTTCGGCTTTCAACTTTAATTGAGCCATTCCTCCAATATTTAAGACACTTGTTCAATATTCTCTAGTAATGAAAAGGATATGGTTCGGCTTTCAACTTTAAATGCGGCATTCCTCCAATATTTGAACCACATGTAACAAAACATTGGCTTCCATGAAAGAAACATAAATTTCAATGTTTTGCTACAAAACTAAATAGACATGGGTCATTTTTTAATTCTTGCGTAAAATTCTAGAATGAAAAATATGAAAGCCTCCATGCTCAAAAGGGACATGGAAAACCAGAATAAAATCTCAAGGTAAGTAATACCACATTTCATGACAACATCACAAAAAAACAAAATTACACGAGCATATGAACTGAAGAAAACAATCACAAGTTGCAATCGCAAGATCATCGCAAATTAAATATATGCAATATATGATAGGTGAATGAAGGGAAGAGTAATATGTGCCAATTTTATCTATCAATGACAATCAAAAAGTAAACAGAAAATTAATGTTAGGGTTTGCATTGAGAAATTTCGTGATTAATAAATAAAGAAATTTCAATAAATAGAAAGAAAAAGAGGAAACCAAGTAGCAACAATTTAAGTTGGGGTTTTAAACAACAGAGGCTCAGATTCTCCTTTTTTTCAGACAGAAGAGAGAAAAGGTTTGCAAAGGCTGCGTCAACATCAACTGTGCAAAGATCCACAGGGGCAATTTCACACAGACAGGGTCACCTTGCTAAAAGCATCATCACTGCCTAGTTATCCATGAAGAAGAAGAAGAAACAGAAGCAGTGGTGAAAACAAAACAGAAACAGAAGATTATGATCAGGCAATAATCAAGACAGAGAGAAAGAGAATGTGTGTGTGTGTGTGTGGAGAGCTGTTTGCAAAATTTCAATAAGGATCATCGGCTTGCATGAAAACTCAGAGGGGCAACGGCTCTCAAGACAACCTTAACTCTCTGAGTGTGAGCCTCATACTTAACGATTATAAACTGCAGGTTTTCATAGGAAAGCTCAGATTTCACCTTTTCTCAAACAAGAGGCATAAGAGGAAAGCCTCACCATGGCTGCGTTAACAGTGTCTGTGAACAAACCACAGCAATGTAATTTCAAACAGATATTCTGAAACACCTTGCCACTACCAAGGCTCTTCAACCTCTTCTCTGTTCTAAAAGCTGAAAAACATCACAGCTGCATTGTGTATTCTATACAACAACAACCAAGACTTATATGTTACAATATCTTAAATTCCAACAGAAACAAATCATATCACAGATAAAATGTCAACATCACCAAGAAGTTTAAAAAGTGCTAAAACAAAATTTGATTGTGATAACTAATATATAAAACAAATTAAGGGAATTATCCGAAACTTGCACTTAGCCAAACAGTTACAAACCTCCATAAAATGAAAAAATACAAAAGATATAAAGACTAATCATTGTAGTAGGAGTACCAAACTCTCTAGTTTTCTATTTAAGCATACCTTTAAAAACAACAGTCTTGATGTTAAAGGGATAGTGGTGTTTGGGCTCAACCATCCACCAGTTCCTCTGCGGTATTCCTCTCTTGCAATTTACACAAAATAGATTTGTGGCATTTTGCATGAAACCAAGCTAGGCCTTGGGTGAAATGAAGCATTTTGGGCTTCTTTGAGTATTGGGCTTGGATGATTTGTGAAAATTTTAAATCCTACTACAATGACTCAAAGGACCAAGCTCTAGGGGATCGGACAATGCATTTAGGCTTAAAATTAAAGAAATATTGAACAATTTTGGTAAACAACTGCAAAACATCACAAAGTAGATTTGGGAAGGATTCCTGAGGTGTCCATTCTCTTCTTTGCTTAGTATAAATCCCCAGAAGCAAATTGATGTCTAAGACTAGCAGTGTTAAAGTTTTGTCAGGAAGTGCCGTCAGAGTCTTTCTCTTTCCACCATGACAAGCATGCATAGCTAAATGAATTTCAAGAATAACTCAATTGTTGTTTGAGTACAATAAATTCTAACATAAGAATTCTTAAACAGCATTTTGCATGAAACCAAGTAGTGTGAGGAAATTTACCACAAAAAAGATAATTTGGGTCCAGACTATAGTTCATACAGAGTTTCACAAAAAGCAGGATATTGTAATTTTAAGTACAGTACAATTTGTTTTACCAAGTTGAGAGTCAAAGCTGCAGATGTCATTTTTTGTTCTTTCAATGAATTCTTCCCTGTTGCAACCTTTACAGCAACCTGAGAAAGCTATGTCCATTCATAAATACAACATGGAGTGCTCAACATCTTTCCCTTGCCTTTGGAAGCCTAACAATCTTCTTGGCCAATAACTAAATCAAGGAGACAAATAATGGAGTTTCTAGTTCACCCAGTACTGAAGTTACTGAACTTCATCATAAATCCTATTGTTTGCTAACTTTCTTCAGCTTTACTGAAGCGTACCCATCTGTGTGTTTTTCAATGAAGAATTTGTGTTCGACCAAAAATAAAGTTAACTTTATATAATTCCTGGTGTTATAAATATGGTTCATATTTGGAGAAACTGCTTCCCATTTGAGGCTGAAAGTGAAACTAGAACCCTAAATTGGTGGCATAGAATAGAAGAATTTAGATCCATTTTGAGCTTTAAATGGGAGGCAGTTCCTCCAATATTTGAACATATCTCAAAGATATAGTTTAACAATCCATGTCAATTATATCATTAAATTGGCTTCCATGTGTATGTACAGAATCTTCCATGAGCCAATTTCTCTTTTACTATAAAATCAAATAGCTAAGTAGTATGATCCATGAGCCATTTACTCATTTTTTTAATTTTTCTTTCTTAAAGTTATAGTAAGGTGTTAAGGCCTCAATGCTCAAAGGAACAGTCTGCAATGAATGGGACATAGAAGATAAAATAAAGTCAAATAAAGTCTCACGTTAAATATTGAAAGAACTGCAGCAAAAAAAATAATTTGTGACAAGTTCTTGTTATGTTTCCATCGTTAAATTTGACTCTGGGAAACAAACAAAATCAACCAAACAGAAAAAAGAAAAGGACCTAAACACAATTTGAGTTAGGGTTGAATAAAAGAAGGCTCAGATTCGCCTTTTCTCAAAAAAAAGAAGTTTGCAAAGGCTGCGTCAACAGTATCTCTGTGCAAAGAACCCAAAGAGGATTTCACACAGACAGAGCCACCATGCCTGGAAACAGATCTTCACTCATGTCTGATTCAATTGTTGAAAACATCACTGCCTTGTTATCCAAGAGGATGAGATGGAAGAAGAAGAAAAAGAAGCTCATAAGTAAGTCAGTCAGCTCATAAGTAAGTAAGTAAGTCAGCTCATAAGTAAGTAAGTAAGTAAGTAAGTAAGTAAGTAAGCTCATAAGTCAGCTCATAAGTAAGTAAGTAAGTAAGTAAGTAAGTAAGTAAGTAAGTAAGTAAGTAGGCTCATAAGTAAGTAAGTAAGTAAGTAAGCTCATAAGTCAGCTCATAAGTAAGTAAGTAAGTAAGTAAGTAAGTAAGTAAGTAAGTAAGTCAGTCAGTCAGTCAGTCAGTCAAGTCAAGTCAGTCAGTCAAGTCAGTCAGTCAGTCAAGTCAAGTCAGTCAAGTCAGTCAAGTAAGTATATATATGTATACTTACATGCATGCATGCATGTGTGAAGAGCTGTTTGCAAATTTCACTGGTAACTCATTGGTTCAGTAACTCAGAGTGGCAACAGCTCTCAAAACAACCTTATCCCTGAGTATAGAGCCTCATACTTAAACTAACGACTAATGAGTGTGAAAACCCTAATTACAGGGTTTCAGATGAAGGCTCAGATTCACCTTTTCTCAAACAAGAGGCGGAAGAGAAGAGCATCACCATGGCTGCGTTACCAGTATATGTAGAATGAACCATAATGGTATTTTCAAACATAAACTGAAACACCTTGCCAGTAATAAGGCTCTTCAACCTGTTGTCTGATTTAGAAGCTGAAAACAACATCACTGCCTAGTGTCTCCTCTATAAAGAAAAGTATTTCAAAAGATCATATTACGTGAGAAAAGTATGGCTTATGAAGTGCAAAAAAAAAGGAATTTTATAGAGACAACCTAACATGAAGTGCATTAAAGTACCTTTTAAGTTATTACTCATTAGAACAGAAGTAGCACACCTCCCCTGAAATCATTTTAAGCTCGAAAACCTCCTATTCATCTGCATTCAACAAAAAAAAGAAAAATGCACTTTGCTAAACAAATCAACATAATGAAAGAAATAAAAAGTATAAAATATAAATACTGTCCATTTGAGATAAGAGATACCAAGCCCTCTAGTTCTCTATTCAAATATATAAAAAAATGCATGGATATCCAATGCTCAAAGTAAGTTATAGTTTCCTCAAGAGTTAAGCAACCATTCCTTCTCAAAGTCAACCCTTTTCAATCATGGACAAGCATATCTAAATAAATTTCTAGCATTAAACAGTCGAGTGATATAAAATATAAACCTAGAAATTCTTTTTGGACATCACTTCATATGAAACCACGTAGTGTCTACAAATGTGTCGCTCAGAAATTAATGAGGTGGAAGTGAAACACAGTTACTATAATTAGTGCAGCATTACGAAAGGTGTACTGAGTCCTTCTCTTCCACCATGGTTGGAGCACAATAAACTATATTCAAGAATGAAATCATAGTTTGAGTACAATAAACTATTTTCGAAGAAAAAATGAAACCAAGTAGAGTAGATATCTGTTTCTTAGAAAATGATGATGTGTTTCGTAGTACCATGCTTACAACATTAAATTTGACATAGAAACAAACAAAAAAAATTCAAAAGAACAAATGAAAGACGGAAAGCAGGGAAAAATCCCAAAAACAATTTGAGTTAGGGTTGAACAAAAGGATGCTCAGATTCGCCTTTTCTCAGACACAAAAGAGAAGATGTTTGCAAAGGCTGCATCAACAGAATCTGTGCAAAGGACCACAAGGGTAATTTCACACAGACAAAGAGTCACATGGCCAGGAAACAACTCTTCACACAACGTCTGATTCAATTGCTGAAATCATCATCACTGCCTTGTTATCTAAGAGAGAGAAGAATCGGAACAGAAAAGAGAGTACGTGTGTGTATGTATGTATGTATATGAGCAGAGCTGTTAGCAAATTTCACTGAGAAGAATCATCGACTTGCACAGAAACTCAGAGTGGCAATGCCTCTCAAGACAACCTTATCTCTGAATGTGGAGCCTCATAATTAAACTAACAACTAATGGGTGTAAACCATAATTGCAGGGTTACAGAGGAAGGCTCAGATTCACCTTATCTCAAACAAAAAGTGGAAGAGAAGAGCCTCACCATGGCTGCATTATCAGTATCTGTAGAATTAATCACAATGGTATTTTCAAATAGATACTGTAACACCATGCCAGTAGCCATGTCTTCAACCAGTTGTCTGATCTAAAAATTGAAAACAACATCATAGCCTCCAAGTATCCTCTACCAAGCAACTTATATAGTAAGATATTGTCGAATGTGCAAGTCATCATATAAGAGGTTTAGCAAGTGCAAAAACAGAAAATTCCTAATATATAAAACAGAGCTCGTTAAAAATACCTCAGAATTAATTAGAACAAGTGTGGCATGCTTCGCCTGAAACCATTTTTAACATCAAAAACCTCCAATTCATATGCATTCATATCAAAGGAAAATACACTTAAGACAAACAAAACAACGCAAAATGAATAGAGAAGAAATAAACTACTAACCATTAGGGATAGAAGAGTTCCAAGCCCTCTATTTAAATATTTAAATATAAATAAATAAATACTGATTGATAACCAAGGCTTGGTATGTTATAGTTTTCTTCAAGAGTTAAGTGCCTATTCCTTCTCAGTATTTCTCTTTCCATCATGTACCGGCATAGCAAAATAAATTTCAAGAATGAATCAATAAACATCACTTCAAATGAAAACATGACTACAAAAAGACTGCAAATGATGTACAGCATTAGAAGTAAGAATGACGAACTACATCACTTCAAATGAAAATATGACTCAAAAAAGACTCCAAATGATGTACAGCATTAGGAATTAAGAATGGTGTAATCCCATGAGTGCAGCATTAGAAATTAGGGAGATGGCATGGTGTACATACAGGGCTTTGCAAATAGAGGGGTTCTATAGGGTATAGTACAATTTGTTTCCCACTAGGTTGAGAGCTTTTCTTATTTCAATGATCTTTTGTCAGCTGCAACCATAATAGTAGCCAGACAAAGTTATCATGTTATGTCCATTCCTATATAAGATGGAGAGCTCATCAACACTGGCATGCCTTGAGAATCCTAACAATTTTATAGGCCACTGTCACAAACGTGTCAAATAATAGTGGTTCCCGCTCACCCAACAATAACATTGATGTTTCTGAACCATGTCATGAATTCTATATTTTGCTAACCTTGTTTAGGGCTTAGGGAAGTGTACTGACCCAGGTATTTTTTTTAAAGGAAGATTGTGTGTGACAAAAAATAAGTTAATTTGATATGATTAGATGAGCCATGCACACTAATCTCTTATGTTATATGCCGTTCATATATTAGAGGAACTATCTCCCATTTTAAGCTAAAGACGAAACCAGAGCCTTCTATTTGATGCCACCTATTGCCAATAAACGGGATTTTGTAGCACTAGATGAAAATATTTCGTATTAGACCAACACATTGGTGGCATTATACATGAGGATCTAGCCCCACCTTCAGTTTCAAATGGGAGGCAGTTCATAAATATATTCAATGAGCCAATATGTTTTTTGCTACAAAACCATATAGCAGCTATGTAGCATGTTCATGTGTCATTTTTTTACTCTTGCTTAGAAATTCTAGGAGGGAAAAATTATGTATATTGCAATCATCAAACGGGACAAGTGTCATAAATGAAAGAGACAGAAAATCAAAATAAAGTCTCACAGTAATATCAGAAAGTCATTCCAAATTCGTGTAATATGTGCAAAAAAAGATCATTAAACAACAAAAATACAGGCATGAAAACTAAAGAAAAACACTTCATCTATAGATGCAACATCATAATCAGTCTTTTTAATAATAAAATAATCACTGTCAACAAATGTAAGCGTACCAAAAAACATACGAGTGGTTTTGGAATAAACAAACGATGCAAATTTTGTCTTTTAGTCTAAAATCACTCAATAAATAATTATATGGGTTGCACTAAAAAAAATCGTTTTTGTGAGAAACACTTCACACTACTCTAATGCTCCCATCATTAAAAAATTTACTTGATGGAAAACAAACAAAATTAAACCAAACTCAAAAAGGGGAGAACAATAGAGAGACCCCATACACAGTTTGAGATGGGGCTGAAGCAAAGAAGGCTCAGATTCGCCTTTTCTCAGACAGAAGAGTGAAGAAGTTCCCAAGTGATAGAAATCAAAGATGAACTTTCCATTTCTGTTATAACAGAATTCTGTTTTTGTAAAAGCTAGTTACAAGAGGTGATACACAGTTGCATTTATAGTAGCAACTTGTGTGACCTGCTATAGCAGGTCAGCTACTGCTCTAGACTGAACACATGTCAGTCATTTACAAGGCTATTATAGTATTAATACTTCTATTCTTAACTCTACTCTAATACCAAGGGATGCGTCAATAACAGCGATTGTGCAAAATACAACAAGTGTGACTTCGCACAGGCACAAAATCACCTCGCCTCACCGGGAAACATCTCCTCACCCGATGTTTGGTTCAATTGCCGAAAACATCATCACTGCCTTATTACATAAGAAAAAGACAGTTAATATTGACTTGTTGTAAGAGGAGGAGGAGAAGAAGCAGCTCATGTATTGAATATATAAGTAGCTAGTCTTCTATTTGTATTAAAATATGACTGGCATTTGTAAGTACCAGTTTTGTTTAACCTGTAATAGCAGGTTACCCTTGATGCTATATATAAAACATCAAGGAACCTTTTGTAACTAACTTTGCAAAGTAACAGAATTCAGTTACACAGAAATGAATACACTATTCTTCTCTTTTCTTCTTTCTAATATCATGGAAGAACAGAGGAAGTATATATGAAATGAGAGTTGTTTAGAAATTTCATTGAAATGAATCATCAGCTACCACAACAACACAAAGGGCTTTAAAGAACCCTATCCCTTTGAGTGTGGAGCCTCATACTTAAACTAACAACTACCAAGTTAAAAACCCGAATTTCAGGGTTTCATACAAAAGCTCAGATTTATCTTTTTCTCAAACAATAGACAGGAGAAAAGAGCCTTAGCATAGCTGCATAACAAGAATCCGTAGAGTCATAAACCACCAAATGGTATTTTCAAACAGATACTACAACACCTTGCCAGTAATAAGGCTCTTCAACCACCTATTGCCTCATTGTGTCCATTATCAAGAATCAAATAAATCATATCACAGAAGAAATGTGCAAGTCACATAAGAGTTTTAACTTTAACCTAATATAAAACACATGAAGATAATTTGAAGATACCTTAGTATTTAAACATTGAAACCGTCAAATTTATTCGCATGTCCTGAACAATGAAAAAAAAGCACTTTGCCAAAAGATAAAGAACAGAATAAAATAATGTAACCGAAGATATGAAATAACAACCATTTGAGAGAGGGTTGAACAAAAGAAGGCTCAGATTCGCCTTTTCTCGGACATGCAAGGGAAGAGGTTCCCAAAGGCCGCGTTAAGCATCTGTGCAAAGTACAACAAATGTAATTCCACACAGACGCATAATCGCCTCGCCCTGAAACAACTCTTCACCCAACGTCGGATTCAAATGTTAAAAAAATCATCACTGCCTTGTTATATCTAAGAAGATGAAGAAGATAACATTGCCTTGTTATCAAAAAAGAAAAAGAAAAAAAAAGTTAACATTAAGCAACATATAGGGTGCAATAGTATGAATGTGTTGAGAGATGTTTACAAATTTCACTGAGACGGATGATCGGCTACCACAACAACAACAGAGGGAAGCAACAACTCTCAAAACAACCTTAACTCTGAGTGTAGAGCCTCATGCTTAAACTTTTTTTTGAAAAAGTAGAGCTTCGTGCTTAAACTAACGACTAATGAGTCTGTAAACCCTAATTAGAGAGTTTCACGGGGAAGGAAGGCTCAGATTCACTTTTTCTCAAACAATAGGCGTAAAAGAAGAGTCTCACCATGACTGCATTATCAGTATCTGTATAGAATAAACCACAAAAATGGTGTTTTTAAACTGACACGGAAACACATAGCCAATACCAAGACACTTCAAGTTCCAACCTCTTGTCTGATCTAAAATCTGAAAAATAACATCATTGCCTCCAAGTGTATCTTTGAAAACAACAGTCTTGCTGGAAAATAACAGAAGATATAAAAAATTAATTGTTGTAGATAGAAGAGTCCCAGATCCTCTAGTTTTCTATTTAAGTATATCTTTAAAAACAACAGTCTTGCTGGAAAATAACAGAAGATATAAAAAATTAATCATTGTAGATAGAAGAGTCCCAGATCCTCTAGTTTTCTATTTAAGTATATCTTTAAAAACAACAGTCTTGCTGGATAAAGTTGATATCTAAGAATAGCAATGATAAAGTTTTGCCAGGAAGTACCCTTTACTACTCAGAGTCTTTCTCTTTCCACCATGGACAATCATATCTTCAGAAATAACTCAATTGTTTAAGTACAATAAATTCTAACATAAGTATTCTTCGACAGCATTTTGCATGAAACCTAGTGTGAGGAAATCTATCGCAAAAGATAATTTGGGTCCAGACTATTATAGTTCATATCAGATACAATCATGTGTGCAGAAGTAGAAACGGTGTGCATACAAAGTTTCACAAAAAGCATGATATTGTAATTTTAAATACAGTACAATTTGTTTTACCAAGTTGAGAGTGAAAACTGCTGATGTCACTTTTTATTCTTCCAATGAATCCTTTCCTGTTTTGCAACCTTTACAGTTTGCAATGAAAGGAACAATGAAAATAAAACAAAGTCTCCCGTTAAAAACTATATTACCAATTACTTTAAATTTTCATATTATGCAAAAAAACACCATAAAAAAAGCACGAAAACTGAAAAATAAAAACTACAATATGTGCAACTTCATATCATTGTCAATAAAATGTATGCAAAGCCAAAAGTATAGGCATGATTGGTGAATTAACAAAGTAGCAATATGTGCCAGTTACACTTCTGAGTCGCGATTTAAAAGCAGTCAAGGAAAAATAGTTTATGAACTGCGGCAAAAAAAATATTTCTGTGTCGAGTTCTTGTTATGTTTTCCAACGTTAAATTTGACTCAGTGGGAAACAAACAAAATTCAACCAAACGGAAAAAAGAAAAGGACCCAAAAACAATTTGAGTTAGGGTTGAACAAAAGAAGGCTCAGATTCGCCTTTTCTCAAACAATAGAGAAAGATTGCACAGGCTGCGTCAACAGTATCTATGCAAAGAACCCAAAGAGGATTTCATACAGACACAGAGTCACCATGCCTGAAAACAGATCTTCACTCATGTCTGATTCAATTGTTGGAAACATCACTGCCTTGTTGTCCAAGAGGAGATGGAAGAAGAAGAAAAAGAAGTACATAATTGAGACGGAGGGAGTATGTATATATGTATGCATGCATGTATAAAGAGCTGTTTGCAAATTTCACTGAGAAAGATCATTGGCTCAGTAACTCAGAGTGGCAACAGCTCTCAAAACAACCTTATCTCTGAGTATCGAGCCTCATACTTAAACTAACGACTAATGAGTGTGAAAACCCTGATTGCAGGGTTTCAGATGAAGGCTCAGATTCACCTTTTCTCAAACTATAGGCAGAAGAGAAGAGCATCACCATGGCTGCATTACCAGTATATGTAGAATGGACCACAATGGTATTTTCAAACACATACTGAAACACCTTGCCAGTAATAAGGCTCTTCAACCTGTTGTCTGATCTAAAAGCTGAAAACAACATCATAGCCTCCAATTATCCTCTACCAAAGAACTTACAAAATAATAAGATAACATCGAATGTGCCAGTCAAGTAAGAGGTTTATCACTACAAAATCAGAAAATTCCTAATATATAAAACAGAGCACGATAGAAATACCTCAGAAGTAATTAGAACAAGTGTGGCATGCTTCGCCTGAAACCATTTTAACATCAAAAACCTCCAATTCATCTGCATTTATATCAAAGAAAAATGCCCTTAGACAAAGAAAACACTGCAAAGTGAAAAGAGAAGAAATAAACTACTAACTATTTGGGATAGAAGAGTTCCAAGTCCTCAATTTAAATATTTAAATATAAATAAACAAATACTGATTGATAAACAAGGCTTGTTTATACTTTTCTCAAGAGTTAAGTGGCAATTCATTCTCAATATTTCTCATTCGACCATGTACCGGCATAGCTAAATAAATTTCAAGAATAAATCAATAAACAATATCGCTTCAAATGAAAACGTGACTCCAAAAAGACTACATATGATGTACAGTATTAGAAGTAAGAATGACAAACTACATCACTTCAAATGAAAACATGACTCTAAAAAGACTTCAAATGATGTACAACATTAGGAATTAAGAATGGTGTACTGCCATGTGTGCAGCATTAGAAATTAGGGAGTTGGCATGGTGTACATACAGAGCTTTGCAAGTAGATGGGTTCTATAGGTATAGTACAATTTGTTTCACTAAGTTGAGAGCCATGTATAATTTTTAAAGGAAGATTTTGTGTTTGACAAAAGAAAGTTAACTTGATATGATTTGGTGAGACATGCACACTATTCTCTTATGTTATATGTGGTTCAAATAGTAGAGGAACTACCTCCTATTTTAAGCTAAAGATAAAACCAGTGCTGTCTATTTAATGCCACATATTACCAGTACGCGGGATTTCCTAGAACTTGAGGGAAATATTGCATATTAGACCAACTCATTGGTGGCATTATATGTAAGGATCTAGCCCCACCTTCAGCTTCAAACAGGAAGGAGTTCATAAAAATCTTCATTGAGCCAATAACTTTTTTGCTACAAAACCATATAGCAGCTATGTAGCATGTTCATGTGTCATTTTTTAATTCTTGTTTAGAAATTCAAAGAGGGGAAAATTACGTAGATTGCAATCCACAAAAGGGACAAGTGTCATAAATAAAAGAGACATAGAAAATCAAAATAAAGTCTCAGAGTAAGTAATGTCAGAAATTCATTTCAAATTTGTGTACCATATGCAAAATCGATCAATAAAAGACAAAAATACAGACATGAAAACTTAAGAAAAACACCTAACCTATAGGTGCAAATGCAATCTCATAAATAGTCTTTTTAATAATAACATAATAACTGTCAATAAAATATATGCATACCAGAAAACATAGGAGTGATTCTTGAATAAACAAACAATACAAATTTTGTCTTTTAATCTAAAATCACACATGATAAAAAAAAATCTATGGGTTGCATTGACAAAAACTAGTTTAGTAAGAAATACTTCTCACTACTCTAATGCTTCGATCTTAAAATTTTTACTTCGTGGAAAACAAACAAAATTAAACCAAACTCGAAAAGGGGAGGACAATATAGGGACCCCAAACACAATTTGAGATGAGGCTCAGATTCGCTTTTTCCCAGACATAAGAGCAAAGAGGTTCTCAAGGGCTGCGTCAATAACAGCGTCTGTGCAAAATACAACAAGTGTGATTTCGCACAGGTGCAGAATCACCTCACCGTGAAACATCTCTCACCTGATGTCTGGTTCAATTGCTGAAAACATCATCACTGCCTTATTATATAAGAAGAAGAAAAAGACAGTAAATATTGTTTGGTTATCAAAGAAGAAGAAGAAGAAAACAAGCTCATGGAAGAACAGAGGAAGTATATATGAAATGAGAGTTGTTTAGAAATTTCATTGAGATGGATCATCAGCTACCACAACAACACAGAGGGGCAACAACTCTCAAGACAGCCCTACCTTTCTGAGTGTGGAGCCTCATACTTAAACTAACAACTAGCAAGTTAAAAGCCATAATTTCAGGGTTTTAAAGAAAGGCTCAGATTCACCTTTTTCTCAAACAATAGACAGAAGAAAGGAGCCTTAACATAGCTGCATATTAAGTATCTGTAGAGTAAAGCACCAAATGGTATTTTCAAACAGATAGTGCAACACCTTGCCAGTGCTAAGGCTCCTCGACCACCTGGTTGATCTATAAAAGCTGAAAACAGCATCATTGCCTCATTGTGTCCTTAATCAAGAATCAAATAAATCATATCACAGAAAAAATGTGCAAGTCACATAAGAGATTTAACTTTAACCTAATATAAAACACAAGAAGATAATTGAAGTTACCTTAGCATTTAACATTGAAACTGTCAAATTCATTTTCATGTCCTGAACAAATATAAAAAATGCACTTAGCCAAAAGATAAAGAACATAATGAAATGTAACAGAAGACATGAGATATCAACCATTTGTGATTTGAGAACGAAAAGTAACAGAACCTCTATGAAAGTAACAAAACAATAATGATCGGGGTAAATCATCCTTAGCTTTCTCTTCAACATTGCCATCTCAAAATTTAAGTAAAATAGATTCAGTCTAAAATCACTAGTAAGGATAAACAATTTTGTCATTCATGGTCTAAGTCACCGGTAAGAATAAACAATTTAATGATCTACATTAAAAGATTAGTTGCGAGAAATGCTTCTAATAATTCAATTTGAGATTCAAACAAACAAAAATTCGACCAAATTGAAAAGGGGGGGCAAAAAGAGGGACTCGAAAAAACAATTTGAGAGAGGGTTGAACAAAAGAAGGCTCAGATTCGCCTTTTCTCAGACAGGCGAGAGAAGAGGTTCCAAAAGGCTGCGTCTAGCATCTGTGGCAGAAGCACAACAAATGTAATTCCACACAGACACAAAATCGCCTCGCCCTGAAACAACTCTTCCGTCAATGTCGGATTCAATTGTCAAAAATCATCAGTGCCTTGTTATATCTATAAGAAGATGAAGAAGAAAAGGAAGAAGATAACATTGGCTTGTTATCAAAAAAGAAAAGAAAAAAAAGTTCACATCAAGTAACATATAGGGTGCAATAGTAAGAATGTGTTGAGAGCTGTTTACAAATTTCGCTGAGACGGATCATCGGCTACCACAACAACAGAGAGGTAACAACTCTCAAAACAACCATAACTCTGTGAGTGTGTAGAGCCTCATACTTAAACTAACAACTAATGAGTCTGTAAACCCTAATTAAAGGGTTTCACAGGGAGGAAGGCTCAGATCCACTTTTTGTGAAACAATACCATGACTGCATTATCAGTATCTGTATAGACACTGAAACACCTAGCCAATACCAAGACACAAAAAAGTGAAAATAACATCACTGCCTCATTGTATCCTCCATCATGAAGAGGTGCGCTGAAAATACCTTAGCATGGTTCTCCTGAAACAGTTTATAACATCTTTGCTTCCATTTAAGCGACGCGGATTTACACGGTGGGGAAATGGTAGGTCTACGGGGAAAGGAAGCATTTTAGGTTTCGTGTGGTGGGGTGCAGTCACGGAGGAGTGTTTCGTGTGTTCGGGTGAGCTAGGTTGATATAAATATTATATAGTTATGATTAATAAATATATATAAAAATATATACTCCCTCCGGTCTCATATGTAAGAAAAAAAAAAACTCACCCTTTAAGAAAGTGGCTATATATTCATTTAAGTAATGGAAAATATACATTTTTTCCATATTTACCCTTATTTATTAATTTAGAAATAAATTAATATTTTTATTATAACCATTTAATGGTTAGTCAATTTTTATTAATACCATTTAATGGTTAGTCATTTAGTGGTTATATATTCCACTTACTCTTACTAAAATTTCCTGTAGAAATTTGTCACGCCTAAAAACAACACTTCATAGTCCATTTACTGTATTCTCCATCCGCCTAAATTTCCATGGTCCCGCCCTGTAGAAATTTAACATTTTCATAGTGAGTTCTATAAATACTAAAGCTTTTGGTTCTCATTTTCATAGCCAAAATTTTACATTTCCTGTATCATTATCTTTTGGTTCTCATAAAAATGCCTCTTAATATTGATCTAAACACTCCATATATTGATCATGAAATGATGGAATGCAACATAGCACCATCCATTAATCTAAATGATCCTTCTTCAAGTAATTTTAACTTGTCTTTTAAGGACCTACATGGTAGTTCATCAAATGAAGAATACATGGAAGAAGCTAATATGTTCAATTGTGAAAATGATTTTGAACATGGTTTTTTTAATATTAATGAGGACATTGATGTTGATGCTTTATATTCAAATGAAGTTCATGTCATGGAAGAAGATAATATGCTCTAATACTTTTATGTTAGATAATTTTTGAACAACTTAATTAATTTTTTTCACTTTTAATACTGTTTTATAAAATTGCAGAGAGTGAATTTATTCCAAATGAAGAAGATGGAGAGGAGACTGAATTTAATCAATATGAAAGTGATGGAGAAACTGAAAGTATTGCAGCTAGTAAGATTTTTTATCATATCATTATATTTTTGTTTGTTCATATCATTACTGTGTCATCTTTTTTTCATATCATATCATTACTTTTTGTTTTCTATTCATTACTACATTGCCATATTTTGTTTATAAATATAAAACATGCATGAGTCATGCATTAGCAACAAACATGAGACATGCATAAATTAATATAAATGGAGTGTCATCATTTGTTTTCTATTCATTACAGAGCCATATTTTGTTTGCCAATAAGAACATGTAGTAACAAACATGAGACAGTAGCAGCGTAGCAGCATATACTTGTTTCTTAATTATTTTCAATTTTTTCATGCAGTGTCCACAATGGTTCAACATGAACGTGAAACTTTTAAGAAAAAAAGATCATTTTTAAACAATGATCAACGGAAAATAATTGCTCAATTATTGATAAAGAATAGTTGTGGTGGAAAACTAAAATCCGGAATTGTTATATGGTTGGCATCCAAATACTCGGTATCCATCGATGTTATTTATCGAATTTGGAAGCAAGTATCTCAAACAGGTGATGCGTCTCATAAAAGAACAAAAAATTATGGTCGGAAAAGAGTTGCGGTAGATATTGAAAAAGTGCGGGATATTTCGTTAGCTAAACGTAGCACTCTTCAGAGCCTCGCATTTGCCTTGGGCATTAGCAAAACAGCATTGTTTAAGTTTGTAAAGGATGAGACTTTGCGTCGGCATTCAAATGCTCTAAAGCCACAAATGAAAGATAGCAATATGAAAGATCGTCTTAGATTTTGCTTGTCCATGCTTGAAGAAACTAGTCTTCCTCATGATCCGGAGTTTAAGTCTATGCATAATATCGTCCACATAGATGAAAAATGGTTCTACATGACCAAAAAATCAGCTAACTACTACCTTCTTGAAAATGAGGATGAGCCATATCGCACATGCAAAAATAAAAATTTTATTGGAAAAGTCATGTTTTTAGTAGCAGTCGCTAGGCCTAGATTTGATGACGGTGATAAGGAGATATTTTCGGGAAAAATTGGCGTCTTTCCTCTTGTTCAAAAAGTTGCAGCAAAAAGGTCAAGTATCAATAGAGCTTCGGGTACACTTGAAACTAAACCGATTACTTCTATCACTAAAGAAGTTAGTCGAAATTTTCTAATCAATAAAGTGTTACATACAATTAAAGAAAAATGGCCGAGAGAACATGCAATGGAAACAATTTATATACAACAAGATAATGCTCCGTGTCATGTTTCTATTGACGATGAAGAATTTCGTAAAAGCAGCTTCTGAAGGAGGATTTGACATCCGTTTATCTTGTCAACCACCGAATTCTCCTGATTTAAATGTTTTAGATCTGGGTTTTTTCAATGCCATTCAATCATTACAACAAAAGGAAGTTTCAAAATCAGTTGATGAACTCATTGAAGTTGTGCAAAACTCATATGATAATTTTTCTAGCAAACAATCAGACAAAATTTTTCTCACACTTCAATCTTGTATGATTGAAATCATGAAAATTAAAGGATCTAATAATTACCGAATTCCCCATATGAAGAAAGAAGTGTTGCTTAATCGAGGCATACTACCTACGCAACTAAAATGTGACCGAGAGTTAGTTGAAAATACTTTTCAATATTTAAACAATGATAATTAAGGTACAAACTTGTTGGTTTATATAATCGTATTTTCTATAAATTTTTAAATAAAATAGTGTACGCTAATTTTTGTCAAATTTGATTTATTCATTTTTCAGGAGGTTGGTTCTAGATCATGGAATTTACATGGAGAATGAAATATGAAGAATGCTAGTTAGTTACATTAGACTTATTAGTTTATGTATTGTACTACCTATTTCATATTATTGGTACCGTACATTACAATAAGAAGAAAATATGAAGAATGCTAGTTAGTTTACATTAGACTTACTAGTTAGTTTCATGAAGAATGCATGTTAGTTCCTTACTGATGGCACTGGTACTGCACGTTAGAATTTTTTAACAAATGAAAAATAAAATAGACAATGACATTACTCCAAAAAACCAATAGAAGATGATTAGAAAAATAAACATTAAACATCACAATCATAAAGAAACATAGCAGTACAATTCTTTAACAGTGCAATAGAAACAACAAAGAAACATTAAACATCATAAAAATCCAAATAAGAACACACCTAGTTTAAATAATCTAAGTAAATTTTTATCATATCTTTAACCTCTTCTTTCTTGACACTAAAGTTCAATGCTGGTAATTTGTTCAGATCAAACTCATCCATATCTAAGTATTCAACAATGGTGTTTTCATTTGTTGGAGTTAGAGCATTTTCACTTTCATTCTTTGGAGTGATATTTTCTGCACTTTCATTTGTTGGAGTTTGAATTACTTCAGGAACTTTATTGTCTTCAATACCTAAATCAAAAGATGGAAACTCATTAGCTAAATGATGTGGGTTTGCCATTTTTAAAGTATAAAAAAAAAAAAGGAAGAACAAGACTCATGGAGTTTTGTACAAAATGATACTGCACCATTTATAATAGGATATGACTTTTCAAAAGCCAATGATAACAAATGCAACGTTTCAGAATAAATGCTCTTTTGGAAGTGTAAAAAGTGGAGTTATTATAGGAATAAACATGAATATTGAAAAACTAAATTTGAGGGTAAAATTGGAATGGTATATTTAATTGTAACCATTGTAATTAATTTTTGCTTATATTTGAGACTCCAATTTTTTTTTTTGCTTACATATGAGACTGGAGGGAGTATAATTTAAGAGAAGATAAAAAAAGTTTTTTATTATAATTGTCATATAAATTTTAATTTAATTTATTAAGTTATAGTAATTATTGGGATATACATCAAAAATTAAGTTGAAAAATATATGAGTACTAGTAACAAACTCGTGTTATCGCACGGGTCTCGTCTGAATTCACATTACATTTATAGATTATTAAATTATTAAGTATGTTACCATGTTTTCAGTTGAGTATATGTCTCATGTAAACCATGTTGGCATTTAACTCCATATTTGTAGCAAGCGTCGCTCCTATCAACAAATCACGTCTGCATGAACAAATAGGAAAAATTATATACTTCTTGAAATACATGGAAAATGTACATACTATATATTTTAATTCAAAATAGATTTTTAATTTGAATCGTAAAGTATAAGATATAAAGTTTACCAACTATCAAAGTGCTTGAAAGACTTCCTTGTACACAACATTAGTAGTAGTAGAACACGGTACATTCTCCTTGTCATGAATTAGGATTTTTAGCCCACTTTTGCTCTTAACTCTTGAAATTGCAACATATAATTGACCATGGCGGATCTGCACACAAAGCGGAAGGATTGGAGTCCATATAAGGTGGCTGCGGATATGTGTGTAAAGCAGAAGGAATTAGTACAGTACCATCGAGAACTTAGAATATACATTGTGAATACCTTCTTAACTCAAACAAATGCAGTGAGCCTGGCGGCGTCGCCGCGGATCTGCATGCAAAGCGCAAGGATTGGAGTTCATGTAAGATGGTTGCGGATCTGTGCGTAAAGCAGAATGAATTAGTACAGTACCATCGAGAACTTACGATACATTCTGAATACCTTCTTAACTCAAACAAATGCGGTGAGCATGGCGGCGGCGCCGCGGATCTGCAGGCAAAGCGGAAGGATTGGAGTCCATATAAGGTGGCTGCGAATCTGTGTGTAAAGCAGAAGGAATTAGTACAGTACCATCGAGAACCTACGATATACATTGCGAATACCTTCTTAACTCAAACAATTGCAATGAGCGTGGCGGCGTCGCCGCGGATCTGCATGCAAAGCAGAGGATTGGAGTACGTGTAAGATGGCGGCGGGTCTGTGCACAACTCAGATGGAATAAGAGCAGTGGTTTTGTTTTCATATGTCCTTAGGCGTTTTTGTAATTTTGTTTTAAGGAGAGCGGGCTCGTTCAATGGTTTTGATTTTAGATATACAACTATTAAAAAATCCGTGGTATCATATGGGTCCTGTCCGAATTTCATATAATATAGAACTAACTTTGAATTGTAATAGATCATTCGTATATATTATTCAAATTTAAAATATTAAAATGATTTAACCAAAGTTCAATCAATTAGAAAAAAAAATTAGTGTATCAAATTAATTTGCTTTCCATCGATAACATTAATGATAACAATATCGTATTTGAACTTTAGATATGAAGCAATCTGCTTTCCATTGATGTTTTCAACTTATTAGTCTGCATGATAATTTGTGCAAAAATCAGACACCAAATATGCAAATAATTTATAAACAAAAACATTTGTGTTGTCATGTACTTACCCATTAACAAAGCAATTGAAAAACTTCATTGTATACAACATTTGTAGTGATAGAAGATGATACATTCTCATTATCATGTATTAAGATTTTAAGACAACTTTTACTTGTAACTCTTGAAATGGCTACACACAATTGTCCATTACTAACAATTGTCCATTACTAAAAACAGGAGTAGGCAAATACAATCCAACGATATCAAGTGATTGGCCTTGGGATTTATTAATTGTCATTGCGTTAGAGACAATAATTGGGAATTTTCTCCTAATCAACTTAAATGGTCACGGTGACTCAAAATGTGACATAGACATTCGAGGGATGTAAAAGATGTTATCTATGTTCTTTACATGCATGACTAATAAATATAGACTAATAATATGCACTTGTTTTTTAAGCATTAATATGTATTTATAATAAATCATACAGACTATTCACTAACTTCAATTATATAAGATTTAAAAGATGAATATTAAAATTAACAATCTATAGCCAGTATCTCATAGATGCGTTCTCATCTACCCGTGAATTAAGATGATTTAACAAACCCAGTTGAATCCAAATGAATTAGTTCTAAAAATTTATTAAATCTATTTTAGATATCAACCCATTTTTTTAAACCTAAAATATATGACAACTCCCGTCAAATTTATACTTTTATATTATATGTGCTCACATCTACGTGAGTTAACGAACTTCAGTTGAATCCAAATGAATTAATTTTAAAAATTTATTAAACATATTTTATATATTAATCCATTTTTTCAAATTAAAAATGTATGACATCTCCCGTCAAATTTCAGTTTTAAAACTTTTATATTATATCATATTTACATATTTTTTTACAACCTATAATGTATAACAGTTTTCCGTTAAATTACAATTATTTTTAAAAAGAACATAAAAAATAAATAAAATTTATAGATAAAACTATTGTATATTATTTTCTATATTTATTTAATGAATGAAATTTATTTTAGATGAATTTATTTTCTAATTTGTATTTAAAAATATAACTTAATTGTCATTTAAAACAGTACATTCAATTCTTTAACTTCAATTATGTGGTATGTCATAGATACATTTATTCTACCCGTGAATTTATTTCATGTACTCAGTTGGTTAATATTAATATAATTACAATATATAATCATTTATAAAATTTGAATTTCTCATTTATAAAAATAATTTTAAATTATTCTCGTTTATAAAAATGAACGCGTGTGTCTATTTATAAAAATATATGAAACTTATACTCTTTTATAAATATAATTGTATCAATACTTGAATTTTTCCGGTTTATAAAAATATTTATAATTTATTCATGTTTATAAAAATTATTATAATTTATTTTTAGTTTGTAAAATTAATTATATTAATATGTAGACTTTTTCTCGTTTATAAGTGTCTTTAACTCGTGTGACAATTTATAAAAACATTTTAACTTATTCATGTTAAAAACAATTACATCAATATTTGAATTTTGTTCGTTTATAAAAATATTTGTAAGTTATTTAAGTTTATAAAAATAATTGTAAAAATAAATATTTACCATATCATCTTAAATTTATTTATTCAATAGTGATAAATATGTGTCTCTTAGTTAATTACATTTATAAATGAATATCGTGTATTAGTGATATATATTGAATTTATTATCTTAATGTCTAACTAATTAAAATGAATTTCTTATTGTCAATCAGAAATTATAATATTAAATAATAATATAATATTATTATTATATACGGGAAAAAGAATAAATTAAATCTAAGAATATCGGAAAATTTATTATAATATTAAATAATAATTTAACATTTATTATTACAATGAATCATATATAACATTTCAAAATTATGTATTTATTTCTTATGTTTTATTATATTCGATTTGTAATAAATATTTTTCAGTTTATTGCGAATTTTCAATAATTAAATATTAATGATATTATATAAAATTAATTTCATGAAATAAATTTATTTAATAAAGTGTTATATAAATATTTAATACATTATATTATACCATTAATTTATATAAAATGATATTAACTTATTCCTGTTTATAAAATTATTGTAACTTTTTTCCGATTTATAAGCATGTTGAATTCGTGTGTCAATTATTAAAATATATGTAATTTATTATTATTGATATAAATAATTTTATAAATAGTTTAATTTATTACATTTATAAAATTATTTGTAATTTATTCACCTTTATAAAATTAATTATAAATTATTTAATTTATTAAAATGATTGTATCAATAATTTTTTATTTTATCATAAATTTTTATGATTATCATTTACCATTAAATTTTCATGATTACCATTTAATATTT